CCACCTGTTGCTGACCATGCTTGACAAAAACATTTATATGTATTTGATTCAATTTGTTCTGCTTTTAATTGTATTATTGTTATAATAATAATATTACCTTTATCCTATAGATTTATATTTTTATATTTGAGAATTATTTTATATTTTAAAGCAAAAAAAACTTACATTTGTTTCAATAGATTTAATATGTTCATGTTCAGGTACCCATTTATTATCACAATTAAAAAATATTTGTCTTGTTCGAATAGCTTTACATTCAAGTTTAATAGGTAGATTTTCAAATAAAAATGAAGATTTTGGTTCAAGTAAAAATTGTGGTTGTTCTATAAATGGTTGCATCTCATCTAAAACAACTTCTAAGACAGACACACTGCCGTTTATGTATGAATGTATACGAACACACATACTCATGCTCATTCTCTTTCTCTCATAGAGAAAGAAGAAGAAGAAAAAAAAAAAGAACCACGACAATCTTTCTCTCTTCCTTTGATGATACATCACATAGGGAATATATAATATTTAATTTTCAAGTAGTTCTTAAAAAAACAACAACAACATACATTTACCTGTTCAATATATTAATCATATTACATTTATACATATATCGATGTTCATGATCTATCATTGTCAAAAGCACACACACCCTATCCAAGTATATTATAGATTACAATTGACTATGTGTTGTCTGCTATTTATAATGAACATAAGCAAAAGTGAATAATTAAGTCTAAGTTTGAGATATTAAACAGAGATGCCATGCCAGTTATGTTTATATGCTTATTTGATTCTTTTTTCTCTTCTATTTTTTACCGACAATTTCATGATCGATCTATATCTATGACGACTTCAATGAACAACAACAAAAAAAAAAGAACTCTTAAGATAGCGCTATCTTAATTAAAGTAAAATTTATAGAAAGAAAAAAACAATTATTCGTCAATGGGTTATATAGTTATGATCTATTATTAACAAAAGATGCCCTATAACAACAATACTATTATATAGTCAAGTATAAGACTGTTTGAATAGAAAATATAGAAAACGGCATATATTGCTTCCTTAATACAAGGTCGTTTTGGATCATCACACATATCCTTTCCTTCTTATTTTACTTGCCGTTTAAAGATTCACTCCTACTCTTTCAATTCATCTGCATCAATGATCGTCAATCATTATCGTACACGCAACATCATAATCAACATATATACAAGGGCATACGAACAATTAACATGAAGATAGATAGATGAACTTGGTTATTAAAATAATGGACCTTACAATAAATTAACTATCAGACATAGTTACATGATGTTTTTTTTTAGGAGTGGATGTTTTCCGGTTTTCTCTTGTAATATATGCTTATTGCAAACAAAAATTAAATATACAATCTAACTCTTGTTTGATAACATAATATTATAAATGAAGAATAAGAAAACACATATATATAAAAACAAAAAAAAAAAAAAGAAGAAGATAAGATTTCTTTGCTTACCTGTAAAACATCATCATGCTTTTCATAACGGCATGCATGCAAGTGTTAATCATCTAGACTTTGTTTCTCACCTGCATAACATACTAGAGATGAAATTTCTTTCTTTTTTCCTCTCTACGTGCTTCTTTTTTTCAACGGATTTTTTTTATGACACGCATGTCAATCAAATAGAAAGATTTGAACATGCAAAAGCAATGCCAACTCAATTCTAACTAAAAAGATGTGCTCATCGACTCATCGGACACGATCATCTCTTATGTACTATTTAAGTAAGTATATGCACTTCGATTACATTTCTTATACATATTATAATATGTGGTACCAATAATAATGAAAAAAAAAGAAGAAGAAGAAGGAAAGAGAGTATTCATACAAAATAGATTAGTACAGACAGACAAATTGACGTAATCGAGAACAGTCAAGTGACATGTCTCTTGGTTTTTCTTCAAAGAAAAAAAAACACAACTGCTACTATTTTCTTTTTATTCACAAGTCTGTTGTTTTTTTTTTTATTGTTTTAGATAACAATTCGATATGTAATAGTTTACATAAAACAATCAACTAATCTATTTTCATACTTATAAAAAAAAAAATGATAAATATTAGGATGTAAATCGTGCAATGTTCTTCCTTTTTTACGTAATAATAATCATAGGAACAACAATTGATGCAAAAAAAAAAGAAAAGGATATTAAATATTAAAGAAAAATTGATCAGTAGGTGGTGAATTCTAGCGTTAATTTATCTCTTTCTCATCAACATAGTTACATCATTCACCTGTTTTATATTCGACAAGATATCAAAAAAAAAAAGAAAATAAAGAATGATATGAGAACTTGTTCAGCTGTTGAGTATATGTATTGTTAAATAAGATTATATTCTTTACTACTTGACTTAGTTAGAGAGACAAAACACACGATGTATAGTTAATGTTATGCATGTTGAAGGAAGCAACTGAGATTATTGTCTAATTGAGTGAAGAAGAAGAAAAAAAAAAGCAAAAGAGAGAGCAACAGAAGGATGATATACCATATGCATACAACAGCCGTTTTGCTCAGTATGATATAATTAACTAACTTTGAATAACGATGATCCTATTTATACATTTATTGTTTTGAAAATATTCAACATGATTATTGTGGTACACACAAAAAAAAAACAAAGATATAGCATCTTATCGTTGATATATTTATATTACTTCCATCGAGACATAACTTATAACTAAATAAATTCATTGAAAGGAAAAAACCAGCAATCAATTGATGTTAAAGGACGTCGAGACGAGTTGATGCACAACAACAAATCATCATCATCATCATTAGTTGCATTTAACCCTTTTCCTTTATGCAAAAGCTATAAGTAGCTTAGATATGTGAACGTGATTCAGAATTGTTATTACAATCGAGATAAGAATGCTGAATAAATGAACGTTCTATACTAATGTTTATGCAAGAAAATATTCGTCGAGACATAAAGTTAAGAGATTAGTATAATATGTGGCAATATGATCTGATAGAAAAAAAAATACTTGACGAAAGAAGTCATATATATATGAACAAAAAAAAAACGTAAGGTACAAATATAATTGACATTATTGAGTATGTTGTTCTTTGATTTATCTATCAATCTTGAACTCATATTCATCACACGTCTCTTTTACTTTTTTTGCTTAAGGCTTAATGAATCAGTTATATGTATATTTGCAATGAACAGATGACGATATTCGCGATGTTTTATATATATAAACAATTTATCACATAAAGAAAAGTTAACTGATAAATTACAATGGTCATTTTTTTTTGTTCACATGTATAAAAAAAAAAAAGAAAAAGAGACTTGAACCTTCCGGATGTGTCATCTTAACGTTGACTTTCTTGAAATTGAATATAATATACGTATATAAAATGAAAAAAAAAACTAAATCAATGATGTAATCTGAAAGAGAAAAAAAAAATCTTTCTTCTAAATTACATCATAACTAACTAATGCTTGAATGATAGCTGAAACATTATTAAAAAGGTCACACTATATATTAATAGATAATTATATTGATGGCAATTGTTGTATTTGACCATATCTTCATTTTATTCGAAGATCAATCAAAAATATTAGTTTTTTGATACGTTTGCAATCGATTAAAAAAAAGAAGACAAATAGATAAAAATTTTGTTTCATATATTTTATTGTTAAATGAACAATTAATCTTAATTTCCCTTAACAACTATACATTTGTATGTGAGATATTGATCGATAGGAAATTTGAAACTTGAGAGAAACAGGTGTAAAAATAATCATAGAAATAGATAACGATTGTTTTACAAGGTCATTAACAAGATGTATAAATAAATAAATATATATATTATTTTTATAATAAGCAAAGAATACTCACAATGAGATAATCTCATGAATATAACATTTGCATTACATCAAAACAAAAGGAAATCAACTCATACTCTCAGTCTATTGATCAAACTAAATAGAATGTCTCCAAAGCGGAAGACATACTCTAATTACTATGCAGTCGCATCATTTATAGAATTGTTAAACAATAGAAATTTTTTGAGATTGAAAACGGATGTATATAATGGAATTAAATTATTTCATCGGTCAATTACGTCCTTTTCTTTTTTTTTAAATCTTAAAAAAAAAAAAAAGAAGATGATCAATGATATCAACATGGTATTATCTTATTCGAGAATAAAGAATATTCTATTACCTACACGAACATCTTACAAATGACTAGGTAATGATTGTTTTATTTTGTTCTTATCTAATTTGAGTCGCCTGATAAAATAAGTCAATATAAGAGGAGAGGTGTGTTTAAAAGGACAACCAAAAACTAAAGAAATAGTACTTTGTTCGTGAAATAAACTAAATAAAACAGGTAACAAACAAAAAGAAAAAAAGTTTAAGGTTAAAAAAATAAGTTAGTACTAGGTACTTTCCATGACCTATTTTAGTTATTAAAATTTCGAATAATTATTAACAAAATATTCATTTAGGAAAACATTGATATAAAATATTCTATGATTGAGATGATAGTGAAAATTTTATTAGTAATATAGAAATTTTTTTTTTTGTATTCTTAAAAGAAATTTTATATTTTTCAATAGTACATTAAGTTTAAGTCTATAAACATTTTCATTTATTGACTTTGGAATAATGAAAACTATATACAAACATTAGAAGTTTTATATTTCTATTTTTTTTTTTTTGATTTTATATAAAATAAATAACTAAAACGTCATATGTATTATCTTGTAGAAATTAATTGCGTAGTAAACAATTTCTTTTTAATAAATGACTATTATATGTAAATATCTTGAGAAAGAATATTAGAATGACATATTGCGCTTATTGATATCATCCTTGGACTTAGGTCATATGGGTTCTTTTTTCTCTTTTGTTTTATGGAGAATCTTTTTTTTTTTTCTTTATCAGCTGTATATTATATAAATATATGATTTTTCTTTATAGAAGCAGTATCTTGAAATTGAAATAAAATAAAACAATGGGGGTATATTTTTTTTGATGATTCTTTTTTCTTTAATATATATATATATATATTTTTTAGTCTATTGGTAAAAATATTCAAGCATTTGATCATATTACATTATGGGTTAGCAATGCTTTACAAGTAAGAAACAAAAAAAAAAAGTACTGATTAAAATAACAATCAAAAATTATTGTTGTTTTTTTTTTCTAGGCATCAGGATGGTTTTGTGTTCGTTTTGGTTTTGAACCATATGCATATAATGGTCTTGAAACTGGTTCACGTGATATTGTTTCACATGTAATTAAACAAAATAAAATATTTCTTGTTTTTCAATCACCATTATTACCTGATAATCAAGAATTTGGTCAACATATTTGTCGACATGGTGATGGAGTTAAAGATATTGCTTTTACTGTTGATAATATTGAACGTATTGTTGAACAAGCTCGATCTAAGGGTGCAAAAATTGTTAGAGATGTTTGGACGGAAAAAGATGAACATGGTTCAGTTAAAATGGCTACTCTTCAAACGGTAAAATAAAATAATATATATTGAAATATTATTTTTTTTTTTCTTTTGTATATAATTAGTATGGTGATACAACGCATACATTAATTGAACGAGGTAGTTATTCAGGTATATTCTTACCTAACTATCATGAACATCCATTGAAAACTAAAGATGTTTTATTGGAAAAGCTGTAAGTAAAATTTTAAAAAAATTTTCTTAATTTTATAATTAAAACTTCTTTTATAGACCGGAAGTTAAACTTGATTTTATTGATCATATTGTTGGAAATATGCCTGATAATGAAATGGAAAATACAACAAAATGGTAAAAAAAAAAAAAAATTTTTTGTATTTTAATTATTTTTTTTATAAAAATTTAGGTATGAAAATACACTTCATTTTCATCGTTTTTGGTCAGTTGATGATAGTGTTATTCATACACAATATTCATCACTTCGTTCAATTGTTGTATCAAATGAAAATGAAAAAATTAAAATGCCTATTAACGAACCAGCAGCTGGTACGAAAAGATCCCAAATTCAAGTAACTAAAAAAAGGAAAATCTTCTCATTTGATTTTATATAATTTTTCTTTTTTCTATTTAGGAATTCGTTGATTATTATGGATCAGCAGGTGTTCAACATATTGCATTGAATACATCGGATATTTTAACAAGTGTAAGTACTTGATAGACTACATACTCTTATCAAAATATCATAAAATAAAAACAAATATTTGTCTATTATTGAAAAGTTGGTTTTTTTTTATTACGATACTTTAAACTTATAACAAGAAAAGGCAAAGTTTATTTCATAGTTTGAATAACTTATAGTTAATGTCAATTGATCATTTATTTAATAATTCATTGTTTTATCAAACTTATTTTGTTTTTTTTAGGTAGCTAATCTATCTGCACGTGGTACACAATTTTTACATGTACCTAGTTCTTATTATGTTGATTTAAGAGAACGACTTAAACATTCCAAAGTACATATTCTTGAAGATTTATCAGCGGTAAATAATAAAAACAATTTTTTTGTTTTTAATGTTATAGTTGATAGAGTATTTTCCTTTTTTTTTTTAATTTAATAGATAGAAAAATTACATATATTGGTTGATTATGATGATAATGGTTATTTATTACAAATTTTTACAAAACCTGTTGAAGATCGTCCAACATTATTTTTTGAAATTATTCAACGTAGAAATCATAGTGTAAGTTGATAAATTAAATAAAGAAATTCGTCTTTTTTGACAAAATATATATATATTGATTTAATATAGGGTTTTGGTATTGGTAATTTCAAAGCATTATTTGAAGCTATCGAACGTGATCAAGAAGCTCGTGGAAATCTTTAAATTGTTCTATTTTATTTTTTATTTTTAAATAAATATCGACTATTCTTGATTAAAAAATATAAAATAATAATATACTTGTCTATTTTTTGTTTTGTATTCAATTCATAGTATGACATAAAAGCCTTCGAGACAAAGTAATTATATCTACTATTTTTACTCTTTGCTTCAGTCGAGATCTACATATAAGTAGATTGTAATAGAAAAGAATATAAACAAAACAAAACTATGTCTTTGAAGAATAATAGACATAGAGATGAAACAAAATAGAATTGTATATATGTGTTTTTCCATTGGTGTATAGTATAAAGTTGTTATCATACAATTCAATTAATTAATTAAAATTATAGCAAAATAAATGAAGAGTAAAGTTTTTATTAAAAATGTTCTACAGAAAAACCATTGATCTTGAATAGAATATAACACTAAAATACGCAATGACAACAAAAAATACATTAATTTTTGTAAAGCGAGATTATCTTAATAATAATATTTAAAATACAATAGTTCAATAATGTTTATATATGAATCAAAAATAAGGTGCCAATAATCATAAGAAATCCACCGAGTGTCATTTTTGGTATTATTGCTGAATTACATAAATCATTTTCACAGCATACATTAGCCATTATTGAATTAGCATTGACCTATTGTAAAGAAAAATAAAATAATTATTCTATTGTTGTTTTCTTTTTTTTTATTATTATTTCATTCAAAAAATAGATCGTACTTGAACATTACATCGTTCTTTAGCACAACCACGACTAACACCACCTGGAAATGCTGCTTTATAACATTTATTTTCATCACCAGTACATTTTTTTATTGTATTAGACAATTGTGGACAATTGCTAGAACAAATATCATGTGAATAACATTGAAGAGCTGAGAGACAAAAAACATAATTAATAATATGAAATATTCAAAATTGAAAACAAATAAAAGGAAATTACCTTCATTGAACGTAATACAACCAACAAGAAGAATAATAGCAATAATAATGATTAATTTCATATTGAAGATTCTTGTCTTTCGCTGTTGTTATCTAAGAGAAAAAAAGATGTGTAAATGCGTACAAATCATAGTGGGGGTGCTGTTCTATTTCTATTTTTTCTCCGTCATAGAAAGAAATAAGAGAGAGAGATCCTTGTGAAACATGTCTATTTTTATCTTTTTCTTTCTTTGGGCCCTAAGTTTCGTGCTTAGTTTCTAGGCATACACCATCGACTAGTACTGATATTATGGTCCAATCTATTGTTTCCTAAGTGATGGCGAAGGAAAAAAAAATGAAAGTAATTGATGTGTGAGTCTGAAGCAAAAACAGAAGACAACTAAAAGAAATAAAGAAGATGTAGAAGAAGTTTCATCGTTCGACAATATGAATAGTGTTGAATATAGAATTGGATCTGTTCTTTTTCTTTTTTCTTCCGTCTGATTAAAACTAACAGCAATCGAGAAATAAATACTAACGCTTTTATCATCTAACTTGTTCATCAACGAATTGCATGTGCTTTACTAAATATGCAAATATTCATCTAATCATCAAACATTGTTTCATACACAAATACCAACAAAAAAAAATCATTTATCTTAGCTTTTCTTTTTATTATAATAATAAAATGTAACATGATAGAAATACAAAAAAAAAAAAACACAAGGAAAATAAATAATTATATACAATGTTATTTATCATTAAAGACATCATACATAAATAAAAGCAATTAAGCTACTGAATATAATAAATATTCTTGTTGTTTTCATTTGAATAGCCGAATTACAAAGATCATTTGAACAACATACATTAGCAGTATTAAAACTGTCTAAATTTATTTGTACATTACAACGATCATCACCTTCATAAATAAAGAATATAATGATATCACGAAGAAAAAAAATTAACAATATTATTCTTAAAACTTACCACAGCCACGTATTGTACCGGCTAGTGAAGTCAATTTCTGAAGCCAAAAAAAACAAAATTCTATTTATCAAAAAAATTCTTTTTTAGAAATTTTTCTTTCATACCCAACATTTATTAAAATTTGATTTACATTGAACTATACTTGATGATAATGTTGGACATTGATTTAAACAATATCCATGTTGATAACATCTAAGACCTAATATAATAATAAATTAAGCTATTATATTTATTGAACAAATTTATTTTACCTTGACCCAATTCTATACATAAAATTGTAATAAAAAAAATAACTATGATCATTGTTTGAATCTTCATTGTAAAGAATAATAATGTTGATCTAGAACGACAATAAAATGTCATCACTTTTAAAATATCAATCACTTCCTAACGGATGAATAAAAGAGAAAGAATATGCTTATAAAACAAAAAAAAAGAAAATGTCATGATGAAAGAATATCGAAAGAGAAAGCAAGCGCATGAATCCCATATTATATGTTTCGAATAAAAAAAAAGAAAAAAGGAGATTATATGAATACATATAGAAAAGATTTATATTCGTTGGATTAATAAAACTTTATAGTACTTTTTTTAATCGTATAGTTAATAGAGTTTTTGACTTAAGTATAGAAAATTATAATGAAAAGTCATAAGGTTAACGAGCTAACCTTGACATAAGTAGTTTTTAGATCATTAAATGCAAATGTTTAATATTTACAAAAAAATAGAAAGAATGTAATACTCTTAATCTTTGTTTGAAATATTTTTTTGTTTTTGTTACTAATCTCTATCTATTAATAAGTTTATCAAGCATTTTTATATTAAATTCGAATTCAGACAGTATATCTCAATATTATAGGAACAGTGTGTCTTTCCATTGAAAGATAATACTGAGCTCTTTTTTTTTTTTACTTTCTTCAATCGTTTGATATAAGGTCATACATATAATTTAATATTCTTTTCTCTATTCTATACTTTTGTTAATTTAAATAAAGATTTGAACATAAATATTGTTGTCTTTTATGAATTTTCATAAGATGAAATGTCTCATTTCTTATCACTATGTCAAATAAATAATCTCAAGATTGATATATCGATTCACATTCTCTATTCAAGTATGTCTCGAGATTTCCAATAATTGAAAGAAGTTGACTATAAGATGTTTTTTTTTTTTTTTGAAATTTCGGAAAAAACATTTTGCGTGTTTTTTATTGAAAACTGACTGATCAAAAAATAATTTCCGGAATTCTATTTCAAGACAAAAGAAAATAATAATATCTAAAGTAACCAGATATTTATCATCAACATCAGATTTCACATTAAATGATATTATTTTTATTCAAATCTGACAAACAAAGAATTTTTTCCACCCCGGAAGAAAATAACAATTGAAGTATTGATTAACTAAGTACTCTATTT